TGTGTGGAAAAATTCCAAAACTTACATTTAGTTAATATACACTGTACGAGTGTGAGTCGGTAAAAAATTTCGGATACAAGTATGAAATTACCTATTTTTAGCGTGTATTTGCACGCATGTAAGAGTATATTACGTGTTATATGCAACTTTTGAAAGCGTTACATGTGACTTTAGATTGAATAATTGGTTTCTTTACATATCTTAGAGGATGCTTGGATACAAAATTTTTCAAAAAAATAAAATAAAAAAATCAATCATTTTCAACCGGTCACTTTTTTAACTCAAATCTAACTCAATTTGAACTCAATCCCACTATCTTCAATATTATTAATATAATTAAATAATATCACTCAGTCATTCTTATTGGTACGAAATGACCCTCGATCGGCTCGGCTCGACCTCAATCTGACTTCTTTGCCGGTGAACAGCCTTCGTAACCGGCAAAAACTCGACACCGAAGGAATTTTCTGGTGGACAGTCTCCGATTCTAAAGTTAGCACAATGAAAAATGCGATGAATAGTATGTAAGTGTATAGAGTGTGTCATGTAACACTTGGCATACCCACTCCCTTATATAAGGATATAATACCTTGTTGCCCAAGACTGTCCGAGTGGGCTACCCAGACTGTCTGTTCATACTGTCAGAATTGCCCAATTCTTTTAGGCCACGTGGCCCTATCCACATGTGGATCTTATCCTAATAATATTACTTCTTATCCACTAGCCTTCCTTATTAGACGATTTAATTGTACGACCGACCCCAATTACCTCAAGGTAGAGTACCAGCGATATCGAGCTCATATGTTCTGCTCATCTGGTCGATCTAACGACCAGTTGTACCTTCAGGTCGAGATTCAACCAGGCCATTTGAGGGCCCTAATTCGACCTGTTGGTGCTCCTTGGATCGACCTGAGGATTCTTCGACCTGTAATGCCTTCGGTCTCTGTTCGACCAGTAGGCCGAATTGCTCATCCAGTCCGGTCATGCTATTTCTCGGCTCTAGTCGACCCGATACGTTATCCCATATCATCTGGTCCCCACCAATCTAGTCGAGTTAGGATAATTCAATCTTAGAGTGAAATCGACTGCTCTTGGTTTTTGTAAATTGGCTTACTTCTCGCCTTTTCGACATCTCTTGTTTTTCTTTCATTTCTGCAAATATGTTCGGTCTTTTGCTATGTGTTTTCCTTTCAAAATTCGAATTTCAAGTGCCTGCCACGTGTTTCCATGCACTCAACCCAGTCCAAGCTTCATGTCGCCTCGCGCATTGTAGTCTTTGTTGTCCTTGTGTAGTGTGCTCCATCAATGCCAGATTAATCTCGTCCGTCCCTCACCCCTTTAATCCTACGTCGTGCTCAAGTTGTCTCGATGAATCTGGCGTCAATCCAACGATTGGGGCCGATCGACCCCTTGGTATTTAATCTTCTTCCTCTTATAAAAAGAATCGTTGGCCGATTTTCTTAGGTTTTTCATTTCTGCGACATTTCCTGAATATACAACTCCATGTATCTTTTGTGCCATGCAAAGATCAACATCTGGAATTTTGTCGTTTGCTTCACCACCAACCACCAACTTCTGCACTTTCACGGAGCTCGATGGTGGGTCCTCAGACCCTTGGCCGTTGATAGCGCGTAAAGCCTATTCTGGCACCACCCAAGTTTACGGAGCTCAGCGGTAGGTCCTCAGACCCTTAGCCGATGATCGAGCGTAAAGCCTGTTATGGCACCGCCCGAGTTCGCGGAGCTCGGCGATGGGTCCTCAGACCTTTGACCGTTGATGGGGCGTAGAGCCTGTTATGGCACCGCTCGAGTTCACGGAGCTCGGCGGTGGGTCCTTAGACCCTTAGCTAATGATAGGGCGTCAAGCATGTTATGGCACCACCTGAGTTGGCGGAGATCGGCGGTGGGTCCTTAGACCCTTAGCCAATTGTAGGGCGTAAACGCCTATCGTGACACCGCCGTAGTTCACGGTACTCGATGGTCGAGTCCGTAGACTTTTAGCCAGAAGACGTAAGCTGGGTGTGGCAACATTGTCCAAACTCATCAGCTCGTCAAAGATATATAAATAACCAAACCATTCTTACAGAGACATTAGTTAAAAAAAAAAAGCAATTGAATGCAAACACGACAAGTTCATTACAGATCAATAGTTCAACAAATGAAATTTAGGAGTCATTACAAGCATAAATTTTTAGGATGAGGACATTTCATTCCCCTCCTCCGCCTCTTCGTTCACCCTCTCGTCCTCCTCAGCCATCCCGGCCTTGGCCTTGGCAATGTCCAACACCGGCTCCCACCAAGAAAAATCGACGGAGTGCAACGGATCGCCTTTACACTCTTGGGGGTCTGGAAGACCCCTCGTCAGGGCAGCCTCATCCCAGGTGCCGGTGAAGCCTTGAGCCGCGGCCTGAGCTTGGGTGCACTAGGACTCGCTTCGAAGTATCGCTTGCATTCCGAAAAGAACCAAGAGAGATAGTGGGTGGTGTTCTTAAAATGCTTCAATAGTTGGACCTTGTAGTCGTCGATGAAGCTCATACCCGCAGTGGAAGACAAGAAAGAGATTTGACCATCCTTACGAGCTTGGGCAACCCGTTGATCCACGGAGCGACGGAGTGAACCTAGCTCGACATCTTTGGCCAACAGTTGGGTCTTGAGGTCGTAGCCTCAGTTTCCTTGGATGCAAGCTCGGCTGTTAGCTGTCCCTTTTCTCTTTTCGGCGGTCAAAGGCCTCCTTCAAGTTCGCCAACTCGGCCTTACTATTGTCAAGCTCGTTTTGAAACTCCTCTACCTCGGACGGTTCTTCTTCTAGTTCTTCATGTAGCATGGGAGCGAGGCCGGCCAACATCTGCCAGAATAAATGAAGTTCGCACTTTCAATGATAGGGTGGCTCATAAAAACGGCTTTAGTAATAATCAAGTTACCATCTCGGCCCTCCTTGGTTTTCCAGCGCGAGGTCTCTCCCTTGGGGAAGATAGAATAGGAGGCCGTTGTTCCCACGTCCTAATTCCCAGCAAAGGACTTAGGATGCTCCAAGGTCGGCATCGAACATGTCTCGGGCTTGGACTTCTTGTCGCTCTTCTTGGCGAAAACCTCGCCACCCTTGGAGGCCACTTTCCAGCGTTTATCTGAGAGCTATTTTTGGAGAGGTCACTGGTATTGAGGTCGTTGGACTTGGGTTTCGGGGTCCACCTAGTTGATGATCAACTGGGGATGCTGGTCGGCGGAGGGCGGGGCCTCCTTCGTTTTTGTTGAAGGGGTGGCAACAGAGAGTTGAACATGGCCTCTGCATACAATACGTTTATCAGAAAGAGAGATGACATTAAATGTAAAACGAACAAGCAGATGTCAGCTCGTGGCAGACACACCCACCTATATCGACCACATGAGGGGTCGTAATGTTGGATATAATGGCGGAGAAGCCGCATGTTGGACGCCAGTTTTACGACATGAAGAGGTCGTCAGTTCCATTGTTGAATAAGGGCGTCGTACTCGGCGTTGGGTTTGGGATTCTTACGCTAGCTGGGTAGCTCGTGCAGCCACTCCGGCAAAAATCAAAGGTATTGGGAGGGGGACGAATGAAGTAAAACTTGTTCTTCCAATTGTAAAACAGTATGCACAACCACTAAATCCGTGATCAAATCAATTTGGAAATCATAGTGGTTTACATAGACAACCGATTCAAATTTAATTCTGATAACTGATTGCATGTTTTCCCCATTTTTCTTCATTCCAGAGGACCATACATACCAAGGCAACAAAAAATTTCAGATGCAACTTGCAATTAACACGGCACAAGTGCACACGGACAGAGTAGAATTTCAACACTCGTACAATGAAATGAACGAGATAAGGGACATCTTCAATTAAATATATTTGAAAAATCATCATCAAATTGATTTACAGTACAAAGTGAGTCAAAATGTACAAAGTTTTGCCTAATAAACTCAAACTTAAGTCCCATATACTAGCAACTGCAAACCTACGGTGAAAATGTCAATCTTTAATGGCAAATTCGATTTTTACGTGCTACAAACATATTTTAAATTTCAAGTGCATTATATATGTTTAACTCACAAGCACCAGTGGTCCGTTGTTCAAAAGATTCACCACCTAAAGATAAATATAAATCAACTCAAAGAAGGTACAACAAACAAAGCATCTAAAAAATGCATACAACATTAAGATACATGATATAAAAAGTCNAGATCCCTACACGACCAACAAGGTCTATCCCAAAGCAAAAACTAAATCAACCCAGAGAAGGAAACCGGAAAAAAAAAACTAACACACCAAAAGACTACAACAAAACTAAAACAAACTAGAGAAACAACATAAAAATAAAAACAACAGCAAATACAACTTACACAGCAAAGACTCCACTAGACCCAACAAATCTATGCATCTGCCACGAACTGCACATCATGGAATCCCTGGAAAGTGAATGGATGTCCTCTGCTATCACTGCCATGTCCGAAGGAAAGGGACATTTGTTTGCCAGTTGGTTTCGCAAATTCTCATCCCTTATAAAGATTTCCACTCTGTGCCAATTCTGAGCCACTCCTTGTATCAACCAATCTCTGATTTGAAGAAGGGAGTCCTCTTGATGGCATGGAGTATGAGAGTCCATATTGGCCTTTCAATGGATTCTTGCTGCGTCAGAAGTATATGCAATTCTTATTCCTTTGACCCTCCAGGTTGCATGATTGGTGACACTAGCACTGGTTGCATTGCTATGCAGCCTAATTCATGTCTCTTCTCTGCTCTCTGAAGTTTCGTGACTATGTCCTGCCTGCAAGAAGCTTTAGCAGTTTCACATTCCATCCACTCAAGTCTTGCTCCATCCACCAGTTGTTGTTCTGAACATCTCTCTTTTCTGAATATCCGTGAATTCCTGGTTCTCCACAACCACCCAAGTAGGTATGTGGAGAGAGAGATTTTGTTTCTATTAATTGTGTTGTCCTTCAGGTGGCATAAGTCCTCCCACCAGTCTTGGAAGTGGGGTCGCTCCACCTGCAATTTGGTCCAAGAAATTCCAGCAAGTTTCCACACCAACTGTGCCCTTTGACATGTCAAGAACATATGCCCCAAAGTTTCAGTCTGCTCCCCACAGTAGCAACAAATTGTGCCAATGGTCATACCTTTTCTGTGCAGGTTAAAGTTTGTGCTCAGCCAATTGTGCCAGCATTTCCAAAGGAAATTTCTTACCTTAAGCTTTACTGGTAAATTCTATGTTTTCCTCCAAATAAGTTGGATGGCTGCTTGTCTGTTTTGGCTTGAGCCTTCTCCTCCTGCTGTTTCTCTCTTTTTTCTTCTTATCTCCTTGTAGGCTTCTTTAACAGAAAAGTGTCCTTTCCTATCTGAATGCCATATGAGCTTGTCATTTAATCCTCTTTTACTGATGTGGATCTTCAAAATCTGGTCAGCTTCTGTGGGATTTAAGGTTTGTTGTACTATCTCAGTGTCCCAGTGTAGCCCAGCAGCATCAAATAAATCATAAACTCTCTAAATGTGTGTTTCATTCCCTGCAAATGAGCATACCGGCTTGAAATTTGGGATGTTTTGGATCCATTGTGAGTTCCAAACACTGATAGAGTTCCCATTACCCACTTGGAATCTCATACCCAACTGTAATGAATTTCTAGCCTCTAACCAAGACTTCCACATCCAAGAGTCATTGCTTTTTTCCTTGACCTCCATGAATTTTTCCCCAAAAAAATATCTACCTCTAATGACTCTACTCATAAAGTGATTGGGCTTAGTGAGCACTCTCCAAATTTGTTTTAAGATGAGGGCCTCATTAAAATCACCCATGTCCCTCAAAACCAAGACCCCCATCCCATTTATACCTAGCTAAACTACTCCACTTTGCCCAGTGAATTCTTCTACCTCTCTCTTCAGTTTTTCCCCACCAAAACCCAACTATATTCCTGCAAATGTCCTGACAAATCCCCACAGGTATTCTGAATACAGACATAACATAAACAGGGAGTGCACTAAGCACAATTTTGATTAAAATCTCCCTCCTAGCTTCACTGAAGAAATTGTTTTTCCAATTTGAAATTTTAGATCTCACACACTCTTTCACAAAATCAAAAGCTTGTTTTTTGCTTTTACCAATTCCAAGGGGAAGCCCTAAGTATCTAGAGCTCTTAACCAGAACAATGCCATGAAAAACCTTACAGATCTCTGATTTCAAAAGCTCAGTGGTTTTAGCAAAGAAAAAGATATGTGATTTATGAATGTTGACAGATTGACCAGACACCAGACAATACTTATTCAGAATATTGAGAAGAGTAGTAGCATGCAATTTCTCAGCTTGGCAAAAAATAAGAGCATCATCAAACGATTGCTGAAGGTTAAAAATCATGAATTATGCTATACCCCTTGCTTTTACTCCCAATGGCTTGAGTTGGTACTTAAGCTAATATTTAGAGTTTGGATCGAGTAATGTGATTTTAAATTGTAAAATGAATTGCAAAAATTTGATTTTGATTTTCGAAAAAAATCAGTATTTCTCTTTTAAAAATAACAAGGCGTTACAAATTATTTTTAAAATTATCAGTATTGGTTATGATCGAAATCTTTAGTTATCAGTAAGTTACATATTAAACTAATATATTATGGTGACACACAACAATAAAATAATTTACAAAAAATTGTAAAGTCACAATTCAAAAATCAGTTTTGTACACATCACTACTATTATATCTAATTATTTAGATTTTTTTCTTTCTAATTACTAATTTAAGATTATTTGTTTTTTAATTTTAAAAAATGCATTCAGCCAAAGACATACTTGATATTTATATTTTTCTTAATTTTTAAAAGCGTTCAATGAAAAAATAAGAGTTGCAATTCAATAAAAATATTGACATAATATATTCAGACCATGTTGCATTATTGGAATGAGAAATCCATTTAACATATATTGATATAAAATATACAAATAAATTAATAATAATAATAATAATAATAATAATAATAATAATAATAACTGTAATAATGCATGAATATAGATGAAGATTTCTAAGGTTTCTTCTTATTAACCATATATAGTGTGCCTGAAGAATGTGATGAAAATCTAAATGGTTGTTAAATTTTTAAAACATGTTACTTTTTAATATTTAAATATAGATCAAATCAAGTAAGAACCTAAGAACTTTTACACTATTTTCAAAATTTAGTTTTCCACGAAACAAAATAATTATTTTATATTATGTTGTAAATTATAATTAATTTATGATATATTTTTAGATGACAAAAAAATTAATAAAAACACTAATATTAGAAGATTATGAAAACTTCAGCATTTTGACCTATCAAATAAGTAAATACGGAAGATTTGGAGTGATCTATTAGCAATGATTAAAGTTTTTTTTTTTTTTACCATTTTTATAATTAACCAAAAAAATATTAAATTCACTAATATGGTAAGTAGATTTTGAAAATTAGTTTTTGAACAAATTTGGAAGGTTAACACAATAGAGAAAAAATGTAGATTTTTTATAAATAAATTTTATTTTTAATGCTATATATATATTTTGACAAAAAAATTACTAAAAACACTATTATTATATTATGAAAACTTCAACATTTTGAACTAGCAAATGACTACGGAAGATTTCAATATGATAAAAATATACTTATAAAAAAAATCATTTCATATTTGTCATATTATATTATTTTTGTTAGACTTTTTGTTATAAAAAAATTACTATAAAAAAGGCAGAAATTTTTTCATAAGTTTAGCTTCAATAAAAATATATAGATTCGATCTCATCTCATAGCAAAGCGGTATAAAAGTATTTGAAAGTAGTTTGGATCATTTCTTGAGTTCAAAATTCATTGACTTTGCGTTGCTGGTGGCGAATGATAGCTGGCCAGTAGAAACCCTAATCGAACAAATACCTCCAAAACCCTAACCGTCCCTGTAAAATTCCTCTCAGTGCACCACAATTATCCCTCGATGAAGAAGAGACCTCGAGAGCCCAAGCACCTGGCCCCCCTCCTCGCATCCACCACGGGTCCTGCTCTAATCAAACACCTTGCCTCATGCAACACCAGCGTCAGATCTCAGGCCCTACGCCGTCTCCAGTCGTGGCTTGTCTCCCAAACGCAGCAGCTTTCGGAACCTGACATCAAGAAGCTATGGAAGGGCCTCTTTTACTGCCTCTGGCACGCGGACAAGACCCCCAATCAGGTAGCCCTAATTGATCGCCTCACTACACTGTTCCTCTCGCTCCAGCCCTCCCTTTCCTTGGAGTTTTTTCGCGGCTTTCTGGTTACCCTCCGGAGGGAGTGGCCTGGGATCGACAGGCTGAGGCTGGATAAGTTTTACCTGCTGATACGACGCTTCATGAGGACGCTGTTTGAGCTTATGAGGATGAGTAAGTGGGATTTGGGCATTTTGGGGGAGTATTTCAGGGTTCTGGAGAGAGATGGGTTCCTGGCGGAGGACAAGCTGCAGGGAAGTGGGGTGAATTATCATGTGGCGTCTGTTTTTCTTGATGAGCTCAAGGGTGTCGGTTTTCCAGTGAGGAAGGAGGTGGTTGATGTGGTTTTCGGACCTTTTTTTGCGGCAATGAAGAGCAGTAAGGATCGTGTTTTGTTGAGGAAGGTGAAGAGCTGCCTGTTTGATGAGCTGCTTAGGATAGGAGAGGAAGTTTTGACCAAAAAGAATATGGGGGAGGATCTTAACGATAAGGATGGGGATGTGTTGCTGGGGTTGGTTGCGCTGAAAATGGGTTTTTCAGGGAGGTTTTACGAGGTTGGCTCGTCTACGGATTGTATTCAGGGGAATAGGAAGGTGTTATTGGGTTTGTATGAGGAGTTTCTTAAGTTAGAGAAGGATTTGGAATCTTCTGGAGTTGAAATCGGTATACCCGAGTATAATAATGAGGATGGCGGTGATGAGGTGCCTCAGTTGGTGCCCATTGATTTTGATGGGGTTAATGGTAATGTTGAAATGAAAACAGAGGCCGTGGCTGAGGAAATTGGTAAGAAGAAGAACATAAAGAAGACAAAAAAAGGAGCTGATGGTGGTGAGAAGAAGAAAAAGAAGAAGAAAAGGAAAGTTGATAATGGGGTTCTTGAAATTAACTCTGCAGTCAAGGAAAATAATGTTTCAGCCGGCACGAATGTTGGTGAGAATCTTAGACTGGATACTGATTCTGAGAATGGTGTAAAGGATGCTGTTGAAATTGATGGAAGTGAGCCTGCATTGGACGAAAATGTGATTCTGAACCTTCAAAAGCAATTTGAAAAAGTTGCTGCCGAAATGGATTCCAAATTTGACGAGAATTCAGATTTCTCTGTAACTCCACTAGTACCTATGAAACGTAGCAAGAGGAAGAAAACGGAATTCGTGAGGAAGCCAGAGTCAAGCAACCCAAAAAAGAACAAGAATGGAGATAATGAAGCTGATGCTGCTGGAAAGAGTGTGGATAAGAGTTCGAAGAAGGTAAGGTTTTCCATGAAGAATAACTTAGTGTGGAAGCCGCAGAATCCGCTGCCACCTGAGAGCCTGAGACTGCCGCCCTCTGTTACTCCACGTGGCAGCGCATTGAAGAAGGGGGTCCCACCAGGACCCATTATAGAATTGCCATCTGTCTTGAAAAAGACAAAGAAGAAAAGAGTTCAGAATAAAGGGAAGAGTGCCACGCCGGTGATAAGGAAGCGGAGAAAGATGCAAACGCAGTCTGCTTGATTGTATTTCTCAGGTCGGAAAATTGTAGTCTTTAAGTTTTATTTTATTTTTATTTTTTGTTTTATGTGCTTGCCTTTTTCACATTCACTTTTCTTTTATTTGATTGGAGTAGATTGTCTGGAAGTTATGCTGTAGAACTCTGAGAGTCTTGTAGTGGTTCCTTTGCTCCAATTTGACAATGTATTCACATTTTTATTTTTATTTTGCAGCAACATACTTTAGTTTTATAAAATAGCTGGAGACCTTGCCTTGTAGCTGTTTAGGCTATTTATCTTGCTTGAATACTTTAAATTGTAGTTCTAGATGTTGCCAGTATGGAACATACAAATTTCAGTGATATGCTGTTGATGTAGATGGTTATTATTGGTTGGTTTTAATGTCGTTAGTTGGAGTCAAAAGTGTATGCAAAGGTTGGATGCGTAACTTGTGGCTATTTACATATTTCTGTTTCTGTGTAATATGTATTGTATCAGTGTTTTAAATGGCGATGCCATGTAAAAAAGGCTTCAAATGTGGGTGTAAAATTGCCTCCCCCTGCCAAAGGCGGCTGCCTTGCAGCGCTTTGCTCTTGCCAAAGGCAATGCAGAGATGCACCTCACTCATTTGCGCTTTACTTAAAAATAAAAAAAAAAAGGTTCTTGGATCTGAAATTGGCCTCCTCTCCTTGCATCTGAACTAGGGTTTCTTGGATTAGGGCAAAATACCTTAATAAGCTACTTGGATCTAAGAACTGGAGGGCTGCCGCGCCTCAGTGTTGCGGTCTTGTTCGGTTTCCTTTCTTTTCCTTTTCTGTTCCTTTTCTTTTGCGGTTTGGCCGATTCAGTTGTCTTATTAATAGTTTTTACTTTATGTGAAAGCCTGTAATGCTCAACAGGTCAAGGTAAGAATTTTAGGTTCAACTTGTCCATTTAATGTGCTGCTTTTAGTAAAATTTTACCCTTTTCTTTTCCGTTTCACTTGATTCACCCGACATAAGATATTATTTGTCATTGAGAAATAGTAATCACGTTTAGATTTTAGGTATTGCCAATTTTCTCGTGTTATGTATTTGTGACTTCCGATCTTGTCTTTTTGTGAGATATTTGAGGTTGACTGAGCTATTTGAACTTAAATGTGTAACATTGGCTTTGTTACATCTTGGTGTCTACCTTGGCCTGCACTTGCCTCTCACCCCATGGCCAGGCCATGAGCAAATAGCCTCGCATAGCAATTAACCATTTAAAACTTTGTATTTTTTGGAGCTTACGCTTCTTTGGAATATAGTAGTATACATATGTGTGTTGGTAAGAAGTATTTCAGTTCAAGTGGGTCTTGAAATAGGTTTATATAGCTTCTGTAGAGTCTTTTATCTATTGTAGATGTAAATCTGATACTAGCTTTGAGATATACTATATCTTTTGGTGGCCTGTGGTTAATATCTGTTGTTTGACAGTTTATCTTTGCTCAGACAGGTGAAAGAAGTTATCTTATAGCACAAGTCGATCAAAACATGAACAATATTCTTTTTTCTCGTGGTTAGTGAAATTTATGATGTGGAAACTGGAATAAGAGGTGTGACTTAGCCTTTAGCTGTAGGATCACATGGTTTATGAAGAATGGATCTGAACAATAGAACAATAGATAGGGAGACAACTTCTTATAGGATCATGTTTTNAGTACTATTGTGAAGAGGATTATCAAATGAAAATAGCAAATGCATATTTGCCTTGACAGAAACATTATAGGATATTATGGCTAACCATTGCAGTAATGTTTATTAACACTAATGCTCCCCAACCTTGTCTATCATGATGTTTGAAGTGAAATGTTCAAATCCATCACATTTTTTCTCTTTGTAACTTCAAATCCGTGATATCATATTGGGGTTTGCTTCGATGAAATGATTTATATCAAAGGAATTGCATACCTATGAGTAGTTTCATGGAGCTTTGTTTGGGTGAAAAGATTTACAACTGCATGTATATTTACTAAGATGTTATGTGTATGCACTGATATATTTGGTCTCTATATAATATAATGCGACTGGTACGTTTAATTGAGTGATCAGATGTAACTAGATTTATATCATGAAGTAAATATATTTTGATATTTATTTATATGAAGATATTTAATTTATCTTGAAAATTAGGGTTGTCCTCAGCACTCTCGAATATCGAGGCTTTTATCAATTAATTGATATTTAATTTATCTTGAAAATTAACAAATACAAACACTATATATCACTAAAAATAAAATTTAAAATATATAAAAATAATTATTAAATACCATTATATATATATATATAGAAGTGCGTTCAAATGAGAAAAGAGTACAATGAAAGAAATGAGAATAAATTTCAACCATTAGATACATCATATCAATGTCTATGATCAAGTCAAAGTTTAATAAATAATGGTCAATCATTAATGGCAATATGGTAAATAAGTATATATACAATGGACAAATATACATCATTCACCGGTAAATTAGTCATTAACCAATTCAAACCCATTTAACATACTTTAATCTCTCTCACACACCAACATACACAAATGATACACTTCTTCACACACACGGAATACACACACTCACACACACAAAAAGTCACACACAGAGCCACCAACAGACACCTGCTCCGTCGCCGGCAAGGCCTGTCGCCGGAACACGCGCAGCCGGTCACGTTAACACCGTTGTCACAGCCCGTCGCCGTCACGAGCCGAGCCACCATCACCAACCTTCTCCGCCTTCGGAAACGGCCTGTCGCCGCCACAAGCTCAGGCGGTCGCCAGTCGCGTTGACACCAGTGCTACAGCCCGCCGCCGTCACCATCCCCAAACAACACAGCCCCACACACCAGCCGGAGATTCAACACAGAACTCGACAATCGCCGGCCTCCGCCGTCTCCCACCGCATCTCCGCCGCTGCCGATGTCTGTCTCAAGGTACGACTGGCAGCAACTCGCCTGAATACGGAATCTCGTCGAAAATCGACATTTTAACGAATCTCGAGCACCGGACACAGATCCAGCGAGTGACTGAGCGGCGAGATCTCTAATATAATCTGAACATTAAATAACTCGCAGTCTTCGAAGATGACCGGAATTTGAATTTTGAGGGCTAACGGACGGCGGGCCGGTAAGTTGGTGTGACCGACGTTCACAGAGCATCAATTGCACCACTTCTCGTGAGTTACGAATTGGGGGTGGGGGTGGACTGCTGCTTATTGAAATTAGATAATTCAAAGGGTCTAATATGAAATTTTATGAATTTATTTATATTACAATTAACTTTGTTTGTTAAATCTGTAATTAACAAACAAAATATTAAAGGCACAATAATGAGGAATAAAGTGCACAATACCGTGTGTGTAGATGCCCATTAGAAATTTAAAAAATTACAAAAATGTTAATGCAATACATCGATTTGGGCTAAAATTAATACATAAAAAAATTATAAGAAAAAAAGTAATATTTTTATATAATTTGATCGTTCGATTATTTCGGTAAAAAAAAAATCAACATCAAACTGAAATAATCGAGTTTTTGTTTTTTAAAAAAAAAATTGTTCGAACCAAAATTGTAGTTCGGTCGATTTTGTTTGATATTGTGCAACTCGATAGTCATTAACGTGCAATGCGTCTAACACTAGCGTGCGCTCACAACAATTGCATCTTTAATGATTTGACACAAACCACATTAAAACCGAATCGAAATAGTCAATATATTTGATCGGTTAATCGGCTATTTTGATCAACAAAAATAGTTAAATAATTTTTTATTATTTATATTATAAAAAATATATTTAGTGTTTAAATATTTTATATTATTTGTGGTCAAATGACATAACATATAAAATTCAAAAATCGATAATGTGCATTATCATAAGGACTAATGTGCAGTTCGTATAACATTATTGTGCACTGTACTTTCTTATGTACATTTAAATCTTAGACAACTTTAATATTTTGTATATCAATCAATATTATTTTGTATTTATTGAATTATTTATATAATAAAAATGTATTTCAACTTTTATGAGCATTATAAGTTGTTATGTTAATGTGCATTCTCGAACGCATTAACGTACATTTGGTCTAATACAATTGCGTAGTCTGACATATTTAAAGTGCATATTGACTAATACTATTGTGCATTCTATAATGCATGTTTTTTTATGTGCAAATTCAAACTAAAATTGAGCCAATAATTGGATTATTCGGTTAGTTAATTACATTAACCTAAATAATTGGACTAATATATTGTTTATATTGTAAATGTATTTATTATTTTAATATTTTGTATATAATTGTGTGATTATTCAAATTGATCATAAACTAGTGCACTTTAAGGGACTAAGAAATCTTGTTTTATATATCCGATAAAAATATTATAAATTAATATTCATTGAATTATGGTAAAAACAAAAATATATTGTGAGACCATTTTTACTTATGCTTTACATAATTTGTTTCAATAAATGAAAAGAGTAGTAAAAAGTAAAATGTTCAAAATATCTTTCTTTTTTATTTAAAAATTACTTGAAAATATTGTGGGCATTTTTTTAATGTGCATAGTGTGCAATTTATTTAACATTAATGTGTAATTCATTTAATTTTTGCATTGTAATCATCATTATCATGGAACTATTAAGTTTTTATTAAATTACAAACTGACCCATGACCAAATCTGCAACTTAATGAAAATTATTGATATTTGAGATGTCCTTGGGATTTGTCTAATTTTCAAAAAAAGGCCCTCCACCCCCAAATTGGCCCAACAGCACTGCCGTGTTCTTCATCATCCTTGGCGAGAAGAGATCGTCGAACGGATGCGCGCTCTCGTCTCCGGCGGAAGTAACCGGTCGAGCCAGGCCACCGTGCCGATTTTTCTTCGCAGCGAAAGTCACTTGCTTCGTCTCCGGCGCGCAGATCCGTTTATCCAGGCAGCCGTCGCGGTGCTGGAGTTTCAAAGTCGATGAGCCGGAGTTTCTAAGAACGCGGCGCGCAGATCCGGTTATCCAGGT